TGGGAGAGAAAGAAGGTCAGCCACACACCCCTGAGGAGACTTGCCCTGCCCACCCACACACCCCCTCCCCAGGCCTCCACACAGTATCAGGACCCGAAGAGATCTCAGTCCCGCTCATGGCAATGAGGTACCAGCATGGGCAGCTAAATGAGAGAGGCTTCTGCTTGCAGGGGCATGACACACCTGCCAGCGAGCTCAGGGCACTGTCTGCCATTTGGGCTCAGGGTCATCGTCCAAAGCTCATTGCCATACTGATGCCAAAGGCCGGGTCTTAGTCAGGAAAATGACCTCTGAAATTGCCCACTAGGGCTATGCAGAATGTCCCCTGAGTTTCCACGCACGACTCACATGAGAGCATGTGGCTGGAGCAAAGACAGCATATGGAGCCCCTCAGTGTGCAGACAAGCCACTGCCTCCTTTCTGTCTCACCTGAGTCACTTCTCTGTGGGAGAGTGGGAAGGTCACCTGTGGGTGGGGCCATGGGGAAGAAGAAAAAGAGAAGAGAAACTCATTGACCTGTGAGAGGGACACTGTGCCTACCTCTCCTCTCCAGGGAATGAAAGCCCTCCAGGTCTTCCCTCACCCCTGCTCCCAGGCCCATAAGGCTTCAACTGCAATAAGGTGAGGTCCCCCAGCCACAGAGCCTTACGTACTTTTGAAGAAGAGCTCAGAGCAGGAAGTCCCATCAAATAATTGCCCAACGAAGGTGAGAATGGACGTGGGAATAGAGGTCTGGACGGAGATGAGGACAGAAGTGAGCACGGAATTGAGGACAGCAATGAGGACAAAGGAGAAGAGAGAGGAGAGAGCACATAAGTTAGGACAGTGGTGAGGAGAGAAGAGAAGACAGAGGTGAGCACAGCAGTGAGGACAGAGGAGAGGACTGAGGTGATGACAGCAGTGATAAGAGAGGAGAGGACAGAAGAGAGGAAAGAAGTGAGGACTGAGGTGAGGACAGCAGTGAGGACAGAGGTAGGACATAGGTGAGGACAGACAAGAGGACAGAGGAGAGAAAAGTGGTGAGGACAGGTAAGGATAAAGGAAAGGACAGAGGAGAGAACAGAGGTGATGACAGCAGTGAGGACAGGTGAGGACAGAGATGAGGACTGCAGTGAGGACAGAGGAGAGGACAGTGGTGAGGATAGAGGTGAGGACAGCAGTGAGGATGGAGGTGAGGACAGTGGTAAAGACAGTAATGAAGACAGTGGTGAGGACAGAGGTGAGGACAGAGAAGAAAAGTGAAGACAGAGATGAGAAATGCACTCAGGACAGAAGAGAGGACAGCGGTGAGGACAGAAGAGAGGACAGCGGTGAAGACAGAAGAGAGGACAGCGGTGAGGACAGAAGAGAGGACAGAGGTGAGGACAGAAGAGAGGACAGAGGTGAGGACAGAAGAGAGGACAGCGATGAGGACAGGGGTGAGGACAGAGAGGAGGAGAGAGGTGATGACGGAGGTAAGTACAGTGGTGAGGACGGAGGTGAGGACTGCAGTGAGGACAAAGGTGAAGACAGAGGAGAGGGCAGCAGCTAGGTCAGGGGAGAGTATAAAGAAGTGTACAAAGGAGAAGACAGTGATGAACAACGGTGAGGACAGAAGTGATGACAGCGGTGAGGACAAAAGTGAGGACAGAGGAGAGGACAGTGGTGAGGACAGATGTGAATACAGAGGAAAGGACAGTGGTGAGGACAGATGTGAATACAGAGGAAAGGACAGTGGTGAGTACAAAGGTGAGGGCAGAGGTGAGGACAGTGTTAAGAACAGGTGAAGACCAAGGTGAGGATTATAGTGAGGACGGAAGTGAGGACTGAGGTGAGGACAAAGGTGAGGACTGCAGTGAGGACAAAGGTGAGGACAGAGGAGAGGACAGACATGGGGACAGAAGTGAGGTGGAAATGAGGACAGAGGTGAGGACAGTGGTTAGGACAGTGGTTAGGACAGGGGAGAGTACAAAAAGAGGACAGAGGAGAGGAAAGTGGTGAAGACAGTGGCGAAGACAGAGGTGACAACAACATTGAAGACAGAAGTGAGGACAGAGATGAGGACTATAGTTTGCACAGAGAAGAGGACAGATGAGAGGACAGAGGAGAGGGCAGCAATGAGGACAGAGGTGAGGACAGAGGAGAGGACAGAGTAGAGGACAGTGGTGAAGACAGAGTATTGGACAGAGGAGAGGACAGTGCTGAGGACAGATCAGAGGAATGCGATGAAGACAGGTGAGACAACAGAGGAGAGGACAGTGATGAAGACAGGAGAGAAGACAAGAGATGAGGACAGAGGTGAGAACAGAAGTGAGTACAGAGATAAGGACAGTGGTGAAGCCAGAAGTGAGGACAGAACATGTGAGGACAGAGCTGAGGACAGAAGTCAGGACAGAGGTGAGGATGGAGGTGAGGACAGAGGAGAGGACAGAGGTGAGGACAGTGGTGAGGACAGAGTTGAAGACAGAGCTGAGGACAGACCAGAGAACAGACAAGAGGACAGCGTTGAGGACAGCGGTTAGGACAAATGTGGGGACAGTGGTGAGAATAGAATTAAGGACAGAGGTGAGGACAGAAATGAGGACAGAGGTGAGGACAGAGGTGAGGACATTGGAGAGGGCAGCAGGGAGGACAGAGGTGAGTAGAGAGGAGAAGACAGAGATGAGGCCAGTGGTGAGGACAAAGGTGATGACAGAGGAGAGGAGAGAGGTGAGGACAGAGGTAAGGACAGCGGAATGGACAGCGGTGAGGACAGAGATGCAAACAGAGGTGAAGACAGCAGTGAGGATAGAGGAGAGGACAGAGGAGAAGACAGAGGAGAGGACAGAGGTGAAGACAGTGGTGAGGACCGACATGAGGACAGCAGTGAGGACAGAGATGAAGATAGAGGCAAGGAAGGAGGTTAGAACAGCGATGAGGACAGAAGAGAGGACACCAATGAGGACAGAGGAAAGGACAAAAGTGAGGGCAGCAATGGAGACAGAGGAGAGGACAGAGGTGAGGACAGCAGTGAGGTGGAGGTGAGGACAGAGGTGAGGACAGCGGTGAAGGTGGAGGTGAGGACCACAATGAGGACAGAGGTGAGGACAAAGGTGAGGACAGAGGAGAGGAGAGGAGAGAGGTGAGGACAGAGGTAAGGACAGCGGAATTGACAGCGGTGAGGGCAGAGATGCAAACAGGTGAAGACAGCAGTGAGAATAGAGAACAGAGAAAACAGAGGAGAGGGCAGCCAGAAGGACAGTGGTGAGGATTGAGGTGAGGACTGCAGTGACAACAGAATTGAGGACAGAGGTTAAGACAGAAGTGAGGACAGAGGAGAGGACAGTGGTGAGGACAGAGGTGAGGACAGGTGAGGACAGAGGTGAAAACAGCATTGAGGACAGGTGAGGATAGAAATGAGGACTGCATTTTGGACAGAGGAGAGGACAGCGGTGAGGACAGAAGAGAGGTCAGAGGTGAGGACAGAGGAGAGAACAGAGGAGAGGACAGAAAAGAGTCAGAGGATAGGACAGGGGTGAGGACAGCGGTGAGGACCAAGGTGAGGACTGCAGTGAGGACAGATGTGAGGACAGAGGAGAGGAAAGAGGTAAGAACAAATGTGAGAACAGCAGTGAGGACAATGGAGAGGACAGTGGTAAGGATAGAGGTGAGGACAGAGGTGAGGACAGATGTTAGGACAGAGGTGAAGACAGCAGAGAGGAAGGAGGTGAGGACACCAATGAGGACAGAGAAGAGGACAAAAGTGAGGGCAGCAATGGGGACAGAGGAGAGGACAGTGGTGAGGACAAAGGTGAGGACAAAAGAGAGGACAGAGAAGAGGACAGAGTAGAGGACAGCATGAGGACAGGTTAGGACATAGTTGAGGGCTTCAGTGAGGACAGAGTGAGGACAGAAGTGAGGAAAGAGGAGAGGACAGCGGTGGGGACAGTGGTGAGGATGGAGGAGAGGACAGCGGTGAGAAAAGTGTTGAGGACAGTGGTCAGGAAAGAGGAGAGGGCAGAGGTGAGGACAGAGGAGAGTACAGTGGTGAGGACAGAGGTGAGGACAGTGGAGAAGACGGGGGAGAGGACAAAGGAGAGGACAGCGGTGAGAAAAGGAGAGGACCAAGGTGAGGACAGAATTGAGGGCCGAGGTGAGGACAGAATTGAGGACAGAGGTGAGGACAGAATTGAGAACAGAGGTGAGGACAGAATTGAGGACAGAGGTGAAGACATCGGTGAGGACGGAAGTGAGGACCACAATGAGGATAGAGGAGAGGACAGAAGAGAGGACAGAGATGAGGACAGCAGTGAGGAAAGCGATAGGGACAAAGGAGAGGACAGAAGAGAGGACAGAGGAGAGGACAAAGGATAGGACAGAGAAGAGGACAAAATGGAAGGCAGAGATGATGACAGAGGTGAGGACAGAGTGAGGAGAGAGGTGAGGACAGAGGTTAAGACAGAGGTGAGTACAGCGAAGAGGACAGCGGTGAGAACACAGGTGCAAACAAAGATGAGGATGACAGTGAGGATAGAGGAGAGGTAAGAGGAAAGGGCAGCGGAGAGGACAGCGGTGAGGACAGAGGAGAGGATAGACGTGAGGACAGCGGTGAGGACAGATGTGAGGACAGTGGAGAGGACAGAGGTGAGGTAGGAGGTAAGGTCAGTGGTGAGGACAGAGGATAGGACAGCAGTGAGGACAGATGTGAGGACAGAGTTGAGGACAGAGGTGAGGACAGAGGAGAGGCCAGATGTGAGGACAGGTGAGGACAGACGTGAGGCCAGCTGGAGCACTGCTCTCTCTGCCTGAGAAGGAGTCTTCTCCACGCACCTGTGTGAAGAAGCAACCCTGACCCAGCAGGAGAGCTTGTCTCCATCCCCTGCAGGTCCCACCGGTCCATCCAGTCCTTCCTTTTCGTGTTGGTAGGCTCAGTCAGCAGGATGCCTTTCTCCCAGCTCCAGGCTCCCACTGGCTCCCCACCTGCCTCACCTCTCTTCTTCCAAAGGTGGATGACAAGCCCAGCCGAGAAAGGCCAGCCCCAGCACAAAGCCCCCAATTCACTCAGCATCTTGCCCTGGGCAGACTGACTGTGCCCCTGGGAAGTAGAAGCCTGCAGGTCAGTGTCTGTCCCCCCACTCCTGTGTGAGTGTGTATGTGGAAGCCCCAAGTCTGGTCCAGGACAAGGCATGGAGGAGCTCTGGGAGCAGACGGAGGGCAACAGGGCCCCAGGAGGCAGGAGGGCCCCAGGAGGCAGGAGGGACCCAGGAGGCAGTGCAGACAGGTGGGGTGAAGGGGTGATGGCAGCTTCTCAGGAAGTGCATCCATCTGGGACCCCACAGACCTTCTCTGAGATGTCTGTGTTAATGGAGCCCAGAACCCCAGCTCTTGAGAGACACAGCCGGGGCTGACCCGCAGCCTGGGGAGTGGGTTAGTAAAGGGATGGCCACGTTTGGGATAAGGGGACCTCAGTCTTCCATGACCCCAATCCCGAAAGTAGAAGGCCAGAGCTAAGGGCCGACCCACCCGCCAGGCCCGGGTCCTCCTCCCTTGAGCTTCGGAGTCCAGGCGCCCTGAGGGCCCTTACGCCACTCCACTGTGATGGGGCTCTGGAGGGCGGGGTGCTCCACGCGGCAGGTGTAGGCGTCTCCGCGCTGGGGGGTCATTTCCAGCATCACCAGGACCTGGTAGGTCCAGTCCCCGTTCTTGATGACGGGGGTGGACACGACACGGGCCGTCTCCTCCTGGTCGTTCCGGAACCACCGGACTCGGACGTGGGCTGGATAGAAGTCCGTCACCGAGCAGACCAGCATGTTGTGGTGGTTCAGGGCCTCTGTCCTGGCCGGGGAGACGGTCACTGTGGGCTCCGCTGGGAGAGGAGGGTAACAGGAAGAAGACCTGAGGCGGCAAGTACCCACCCCACACATACACATTCACACACACATACATACACACACTCATATACACACATTCACACACTCTCACACACACTCATACACATATTCACACACATTCACACACACACACACACACACACGCAGTCACACTCACACATATACACACACTCACACACACATACACACACATACACACACTCACACACACACATACACACACATACTCACACACACTCACACGCATACACACACACAGTCACACACTCACACACACTCACACACTTACACACATTAACACACACTCACCCACACATTCACACACTCACACACACATTCACACATTCACACACAGTCATACACATATCCACACACACTCACACACAGTCACACAACTACACATACATACACTCACACTCATACACACTCTCACATACACACACCCACTCACACACACACACACACACACACACTCACACACACTCTCACACACACATGCTAATACACACATTCACACACACTCTCACACATATACACACAGACACACACACACACACTCACACATACACACACTCACATACACACACTCTCTCACATGCACTCACACACACTCACACACACACACTCTCTCTCTCTCTCTCTCTCTCTCTCTCTCTCTCTCTCTCTCTGGCCCTCGTCTGTGGCTGAAGCAGAGGGGACACGAGTTTCAAATCACCATTAGAACCCCCGCCCTGGGTGTGAACTAGCTAATTTGTTAGCCTGCTTTTTAGGGAAATAATGCCTTTACTCAGCGTTTGCTTGTTTATTAAACAGGATAAGCTGTGTGAAAACTCTTTGCGACATGGACTGGTCGTTTTTAAACTCTGCACAGAAGCATATCCCTACACACATGTGCACTGCGCGGGGACCAGCTCTCAGGAGCCCGTCCACAGGGCCTTCTGAGGGGGAGGACTGAGCTCCCAGCAGCGCTGCCCAAGGCAGGGTTCCTCCCGCAGGGGTTCCAGGCCCCGCCCCAGCCCTCCTCCACCCCACCCCTCACCCCCAGGTGAACCCCAGGACCACCGGGATCTTGGGCAACTACATTAGATCCCTCGGGGCCTCCGGGGCCGCCCGCCACGGCTCAGCTGCACAGTGAGCGGCGCCGGCTCCCTGCAAGTTGTGTCTGCACAGCGAGTTCCCCTGCGCCGGCTCACCAGCAGCAGCTCTGGGCCTGTGGCCGCCCAGCTCTGCCCCAGCCAGGAACACCCCGCGTAGCTGTCAAAGCGCACCGTCTCCTCCCAGTTGGAGATTTCCATGGCAGAGCCGCGTGCTGTGTCCGGTTGGTGAAGGAGCAGGTGCCCTGGAACTGGAGCACACGGTCCCCTGCGGGTGAGGGTCCGTGTCTCAAACACCTGCTCAGCGCGGAAGGAAGACACCAGTCCAGCCACGCGGCTAAATACAACCTGCTCTCAACCCTCCGAATTTCATCCCCATGAAGGGGTTCGGCCTTCTCGACCTCATGTCTTCGGTTAGAAAACCAAAGAAAAAGCAAGAAAACCAAAGGAACAGTGAATGATTGGTAAGGAACAGATGAAACTGTATTTGCATGAAAGGAATCTGTCAATAAAGAAATCCAAAATAATCTATTGCTAAATAAATGTAAAGCAATAGTTTAGAAAGTAGCTTCATACATGACCTATCTTAAAACATTATATAGACCAAGAACAATTTTTCAGTTATTACCACATCAAAAAAAATTTTATTTATAAGTAAGACCTACAAAAGATATACAAGATTTCTTGAAGGAAATAATGAAATTTTATGAAAATATTCCCAAATAAATAAAAAGATATATTTTGAATTAAAAGACTCAGCATATTAAAGATGACAATTATGCCAAGTGAATTTATGGATTTCATGCATACCAATTGAAATCCCTACAATGTTTAATTATTTAAAACTTTGCAAGATGATTCTAAAATTTTGTTGTTGTTCATCCTCATGCAAGGATTTTTTTTTTCCCCATTGTTGTTTTTAGAGAGAGTAGAAAGGAGGAAAGGATGAGAGTGAGAGTGGCACATCTATGTGAGAGAAATACATTGATTAATGGTCTCCCACACGTGCCTCAGCAATGTCAGGGGATAGAACCTGCAACCCACGTATGTGTCCTTGATGGAGATTCAAACCCGAAAATTTTTTCTCTACTAAATATCAAATAAAACTGTGGAGATTGTACACTGTGTTATTAACACAGACATAGGAAAATAAACAGGTGGCAAACTACATGCTGAAATTAGTTCCAGGTATCCAGTTACGGAAGTTGATGACCTTGATGGCTCAGTGGAAACCGTGCTGTTGTTAGTAGGTGTCCCAGTTAGGGGGAGAGAGAAGGCGGCCTTGAGCCTCACCCCGGATGCACTACGCCTGCATGGACAGGCCGGGCTGTGCCACGGTCATGACTGGGCGGGAAGACTTCTCACACAGATCGTTCAAAGCACTGACATAAAGTGAAAGGACTGACACCTTCAACTTCGTTAAAATTAACTGCTGCTCGTCAAGCAATACTAAGAGCGTTAAGAAGACAAGCCACAAAAAAATAAACAATTAACCAAAAAGACAAGCTACGAAACTCAGATATCCGCGAAGCACGCACTGGCCAGGCACTTGACTCACAACACATTTCTTTATTATCTTTAATCCTCACTGGGATATGCTTTCATTGGTGTTTAGAGAGAGAGAGAATAAGGGGGAGAGAGAGAGAGAAAAGATGAGAGAGATAGTTGCCTCTTATATGAGCCTCAACCAGGGATCGAACCCACAACCTTTTGGTGCATGGATGATGCTCCAACCAACTGAGTCACCCAGCCAAGGCCACAATACCTTTTAATATCTTCTAAAAACAAATAAGAAAAGATATGTAATATTATAGAAAAAAAGGAAAATATCTAAATAGATACTTCAACAAAGAGTAAATACCAATGAACAATAAAGACGCAGAATGGCTCATCCTCATTAGTAATCAGAGAAATGGAGGATAAACATATGGTGAAATACCACTACCTGCCCCCAACACGGGGCAACAGGAGACAATCCAACTGCCAGAGCTGGGCCGGTTCTCCTGTGACTGCACTCAGAGACACTGCATAGACACTGTAGAGACAACCAGTTTGCACCAGTCGGGCCTCCTGCCGAACACAGCCTCTTGCCCATGCGCATGCTCTGGTCTTAAGCCCTCGGGCTCGGAGGCTGCAGGACATGGGAGAAACAGGCGCAGCCCGGAGTGCGGCCACATTGGAAGGGTAAGTGTTGTAACTTTAACGTGGAAGCTAGTCCCCGACAGGGAACGTGGATGGGCAGCCGTTACCTGGGAGACCTGTGACCCACCCAGACACAGCACAGGCCAAAGGAGCAGGACACACACCACGCTGGTGGTGGGACCTCTAACGGGGGCGCTAACCCACGTGTGAGGACAGTCACGTGTCTCCCAGCGCAGGAAGAAGAAAGCACGGTCGCCAGGGTCCGGAGGCGGCACTGGCTCTGGCAGCCGCCGGGGGTTAAGCTCGGGGCCGGCTTTGGGTGCTGGTAACACTCAGTCATTCTTAACCTGGTCATGATGGGTTGGACGCTTCTTTATAACTTTTGTTAATTTTATATACGTGCTTTATGTCATGCTTGCATTGTGTTAGATTTCAAAATAACTAATTTTAAAAACGTGGGCTCATCAGCCGAAACCGGTTTGGCTCAGTGGATAGAGCGTTGGCCTGTGGACTGAAAGGTCCAGGTTCGATTCCGGTCAAGAGCATGTACATTGGTTGCGGGCACATCCCCAGTGGGGGATGTGTAGGAGGCAGCTGATCGATGTTTCTCTCTCATTGACGTTTCTGGCTCTCTATCCCTCTTCCTTCCTCTCTGTGGAAAATCAATAAAATATATATATATTTTTTAAAGTGGGCTCATCAGTGCATGCGTGTGCGGAGAGACTCAGGGGCGTAGTTTGTGTGATGATATCACCCAGGGTGTGGGAATCAGTGGGTGCACAATCAGTGTTAATTCCCCTGCTTTTCGCCATTCTCGCAGCCTCTCCATCACCAATCCCCATCAAGGGTGCAGCAGGCTGGCCGTCAGGTAACGGACACCTGCCCTCCGCCCTGAGGGCTCTCCTCCGGACGTGGCCTTGTCGCCTGGCCGCCGCTCACACTCGGAGGGTGTCCCCTCACATGCCAGCGGCAGAGACCACGGTCTGCATCCCCCAGTCCCCCTGGACACCGCTTGGCTCAAAGGGCGGGGCAAATCCTTCTCACTTCCTGGGAGCGTCACTGCCACATGTGTCAAACACAAGGCCCGCGGGCCAAATCCGTCCCGCCAGGCCTTGCAATGTGGCCCGCACCGCGCTGTCATCACTGCACTCCGCTGCGTTTCCATCACAATGACAGTTTATGACTGTTCAGTAAACCATTCGGCCCGCGATTTAGGCTGGATTTTAGATTTTGGCCCCTTCTCTGATTGAGTTTGACACCCCTATGGCATACACGGAAAAGGTGGTGGGTTCGATCCCCTGCCTGGGTGCATACAGGAGGCAACTGGCGGATGTTTCTCTCTCTTGCTCCCTTCCTCTCTCTAAATCAATGGGTAAAAATTAAAATAAATTAATTAAATCAATCAGGGGGGAGGAGGAGGAGTAATGAGGTAACTTTGTAAAAAAAAAAAAAAAAATGTACTTTTTCTTCCAACTCTGAGATCCCAAAGCCCTTTCCCTGAGAGAAAGTATCCTCCTTTTGCCCTGGCTGGTTTGGCTCAGTGGATAGAGCATCGGCCTGTGGACTGAAGGGTCCCAGGTTCAGGTCCAGTCAAGGGCACTTGTGGGTTACCAGCTCAATTCCCTGAAGGGAGCTTGCAGGAAGCAGCCAATCAGTGATTCTCTCTCATTGATGTTTCTCTCTCCCTCTCCCTCTCCCTTCCTCTCTGAGATCAATAAAAATATTTTTAATAAAAAGAAGAAGAATCTACCCTCCTTTCAGCTGCAGAGGC